AAAAAAGCACTTCAAAGGATTCAGAACAAAATTCTGAAAATGATTTTGAAGTTGCCTCCCTGGTACAGTACAACCGAAGTACATAGAATTTCGAATGTTGAGACTTTAGCACAAATGTCCAACAAAATAATTAATAATTTCAGGCAAAAATCGTTGCAATCCTCAATTGCAACGATTAATTCCCTTTATACTTAGATAAGATTTAGTTTTAGTTTTTAGTTTTAAGATATCAATTGTTATACTGACATGCAGGTTAAAAAACCTGTTTAAAATACTGAATTACCAAGACATGAACAATGTAAAAACACTTAGATATATATCATAACAATTAAGGCTGGTACGTTACTGCAGTAACTGGAGCACCTAGGTTAAAATGAAATGTAATTTATTTTGAATTTGGAACAAATAAAGAGTTAAAAAAAAAAAAAAAAAAAAAAAAGGCTGTGAACCATTTGCCGAGTTAAATTTAACTCGTGGTTAAAAGTGACATTTCGAAAGTTATTTTCTATGTTCGAAAATCCCCGTGCTGTCGATCGACCGGTTTTCGAGCCACGGTTGTCAAAATTTAACTTCTTGTCTGTCAGAAATAACCATGCTCGGATAGCAGGGTTAATCGATAACTTTTCATCTGTCAAATTTTAACCAAAAGTTAAAATAATCCACCAAATGGTTCAGAGCCTAAGGCTGTGTTCCATTTGGCGAATTTTCACTTAAACTTGACAGATGGAAAATTTCCAAATTAACCTGCTATTCCAGCAGACTTATATCTGACAGACAAGGAATCAATTTTGACACACACCTTCTCGAAAATTGGCCGATCAACAACAGAGGGATTTTCGAACATTATAATTTAGTTTCGAAGTGTCAAATTTAAGTGAAAATTCACCAAATGGACCACAGCCTAAGAAGAAGTTGATGAATGTGGAAGAAATCGTGCAGGAGGCACGGATCTTGGAAACAGTAAATCGTAATAAGGAGGATATGAAGAGAAATTCGGCTCCTATGGGCCAAAGCTGTGTGAACCAAATCAAAAAGGGTGCGAAGAAAGAAAAGTGTTTCCGATGCGGAAATGTTGGATATTTTGCCAACGATAAAAGTTGTCTCGCGAAAAACAAAGTGTGTGACATTTCCGGAAAATGTGCAAAACCAAGCCGGAGAACCGAAAATCGAAGGATAAAAGAAGCAAAAAGAAGGTGTGGCAAGTTCAAGATTCCGAAGACGAGAGCATTGTCCCAGGCGGCAGCGAAGTCAGCAGCGAAGATAGTGACGACGACGTGCTGGTGACATGTTACACAGGTGGTGTAAAATTGGATTGGATTGTCGACACCGGCGCTCACGTTAACGTCATCAGCCGAACTACATGGCGTCATCTGAAACAACACGGATGTAAATTTACCGACGTCCAGAAATCACGGAAATTTCTGCGGGTCTACGGTAACGGTAAACTAACAGTTCACAAGACTTTCAAAACGGAAATTACCACCCGTTCGAAGCGTGTATTTCACGACGTGTATGTTGTGGATAACGAAACAGGGGCTAATTTGCTGTGCAAGAGTACATCGTTGGAGCTGGAAATCCTGGAGATCCATGCAGAGGCGTTTTGTGTGTCAGACATTGAGGACCCTAAGGTGGGAAAGGTGAAGAATTTGCAGGTGAAAGTTCAGATTAACAAGGAAGTGGTGCCAATTCAACAACCATGCAGGCGTTTACCAATTCCCCTACAGGACGTAGTTGAAGAAAAGCTGAACGATCTATTAAAGCAGGATGTAAAGGGTTATACCATAGAGGTAACTCTAAGACCACTGGGTCCCGAAGAAAATCATTATTATTTTTGGCTCACTCAGTACCAGAACAACGGTCCCAAGCAGTCCCAAGCTATTTCACTCACCCCTGCATGTTCTGCATGAATCCACACACCCCTGATGTTATCTGTCAAACTTTCATAGCGAATCAAAACAAACATAGTGTAGTAATAGAATTTCAACTAGAATAGGGTACGTTAATCGTTTGCTTGGGACCAATAGGCTACTAAAGTGGTGAGCCAATTTAAAATCGTTAGTTTCGTATTGATTGTTGGTTATACGGTCAAAATTTGGTCAATATCAATTTGACGTATTTCTTTCAATTTTGCATTTAAAAAACCTGAACACCCCTCATTTTGAAGGTGTGTGTGTGTAGAATGTTGCTCCTATTTTGATTTTGGAATTCACTCTTCAGTTGTCAAAATGCCGTCCAAGCAAGAAGAGCAGCGTATCAAAATTTTGCTCGCGCATCGCGAAAATCCGAGCTACTCGCACGCAAAGTTGGCAAAATCGCTAAAAGTTGCCAAATCAACCGTTACAAATGTAATTAAAGTGTTTGGGGAACGTTTGTCGACAGCCAGGAAGTCTGGATCGGGGGGAAATCGAAAACCGGAAGCCGCTGAGACGACAAAGAGAGTTGCCGGTAGTTTCAAGCGAAACCCTAACCTCTCTCTCCGAGATGCCGCAAATAAGCTGGGTGTATCGTCTACAACCGTGCATCGAGCCAAAAAACGAGCCGGACTATCGACTTACAAGAAGGTAGTGACTCCAAATCGCGATGATAAACAAAATACGACGGCCAAAGTGCGATCCCGGAGGCTGTACACGACGATGCTGACGAAGTTTGACTGCGTGGTAATGGACGACGAAACCTACGTCAAAGCCGACTACAAGCAGCTTCCGGGACAAGAGTTTTATACGGCAAAAGGAAAGGGAAAGGTAGCAGATGTTTTCAAGCACATGAAACTGTCAAAGTTCGCAAAGAAATATCTGGTTTGGCAAGCCATCTGTACCTGTGGCTTGAAAAGCAGCATTTTCATAGCTTCCGGGATTGTCAACCAAGAAATTTACGTGAAAGAGTGTTTGAATAAACGTCTGCTGCCTTTCCTGAAGAAACACGGTTGTTCCGTACTGTTTTGGCCGGATTTGGCATCTTGCCATTACGGTAAAAAGGCCATGGAGTGGTACGCCGCCAACAACGTGCAGGTGGTTCCCAAGGACAAGAACCCTCCCAACACGCCAGAGCTCCGCCCAATTGAGAAATACTGGGCTATTGTCAAGCGGAACCTAAAGAAGACCAAAAAAACTGCTAAGGGCGAGCAGCAGTTCAAGGCAAACTGGCTTTCTGCGGCGAAGAAGGTGGACAAGGTGGCTGTACAAAATCTGATGGCAGGGGTCAAGCGTAAGGCCCGGTAATTCGGATTTGGAAAAGCGGAAGCCTAACTGAATATTTTTCCTGAATTTTATACTAATTGAACTTGAAAAAGAAATTTAATTTGATTTTTTAAATAAACGATTTCACCGATTTACACGCGTTTTCCCTTGACCAAATTTTGACCGTATCACCCTTTAAAAGCCGATTTTAAGCAAATTCCGGGGTTGGAGTTTTTCACCGGCAAGAGCAAGTTCGATGTGGACGACAAATTTAAGAAGAAGAAAATGTCGAAGTTCGCCTCCAAATATCTCATTTGGCAGGCCATCTGCTCTTGCGGACTGAGGAGTGAGCCTTTCGTGACAAAGGGCACAGTAAATGGCGAGATCTACAAATCTGAGTGCCTCGAGAAGCGCCTTTTGCCGTTCTTGCAGCAGCACGACAAAGCTCCGCTATTTTGGCCAGATTTGGCATCATGCCACTATTCTAAAAGTGTCCTGGAGTGGTATGAGGCCAATTCTGTCCATTTTGTTCCAAAGGACATGAATCCGCCAAACTGTCCGGAGCTGCGCCCGGTGGAGCAGTACTGGACAATAATGAAGCGGGAACTTCGGAAGAGCAAGAAGACAGTCAAAGACGAGAAGGACATGTTAAGAAAATGGAAAAAAAAACTGAGAAACTGGTACCGGATGACACTGTAAAGACTTTGATGGAGGGCATCAAGCGAAAATGCGTTCAATTTTACACTCAAGGCTCCATCGATTAACTTTTCTTTTGATTTTTGAAGTAAATATATGTATAAAACTACCCTAAAATTGTGGTTTGATTCTAAACATTATAAGAAAATTGGCATGACATTTTCGGTGTCGCAATAATTTCGTGTTCGCCCTTTACGGACAAAAACCTGTTCAACTGAGTTACTGCGATACAAGTTTTCATTTTGGCAACGATATTCATTATTGAGCAACGCGAGTAACTCAAGATTTGCTCAAAATTACTCATGATTGAAAGCTGTCTTGACCCTAGGGCATTGATAAAATGGCAAGTATTGTTAAGAAGTTCAATTTCCACGTGAATATTTGCAAAATTATGGATTTGTTTACTATGATTTTGCAAATATTCACGTGGAAATTGAACTTCTTAACATTACTTGCCATTTTATCAATGCCCTAGGGTCAAGACAGCTTTCAATCATGAGAAATTTTGAGCAAATCTTGAGTTACACGCGTTGCTCAATAATGAATATCAAGTTAAAATCAGTGGTCATGAAGCTTGCATGCTTTGTACTATCAGCGAAAAATATGGCGATGATATCACGTAATATGAAAGTAGATGCCAATTGATAGTGGATAGCGTTATTACCTTAAAATTTATGAAAATCCATATAAAACTGATATGCGATAACAGGCAGTAAATGACGTAGCGTTTGAGTAATAAATAATGTATAATGTTTCAAAGCGAACCACTGCCAAACTATGCCACGAAAAAAATACTTACAAATTTTAAATGTGTAATCAAATTTCGGATTGAGGACGTCCAGCTGCGCGAAACTATAATGGGTCTTACACTCTACACTAGAACCAGCAAACCAGCAAAGAATTGTGCACAGAATTAAAACTATCTCAAACCACCGAACTCCCATCCCGGCTTTCCGATCGCTAATGACAACAAATTCAGTCGTACAATTATTTTATTTCGAACGAATCGACCTACCTAAAACTAGAGGAACAGCACGAAATAGTTTTCAATAAATAGCTTCAACTAATCTAATTTAAATAGACACCCATTATGTACACGCAAGCCTTTTACATTTGTTGTGCTTTCCCCTAGTTTTGTCTTGCAGAAGAAAGCAGTGGTATGAACAATCTCTTCAATGGATCCACCCTCAGCGGTTGCCAATCGTTCAGCTGACTGGGTTCGAAGCTCCGTTCAGTGTTCTCATCTTCACCTCCGATTTCATTCGCCTTGTCATCGTCGACCATGGTAGTGGGTGATTCCGTCGTTGAGGTCGTGGTTGGACGTCGTCGTCGGTGGGGTACACTCTTCTTCGGTACCGCACATGCGGCATAGATTCGACCACAATCTTTGTAGGAGCTCGCCTGCTCGTCATCATTGTCCCGATAGTTGTAGAAAATGTCGCGACTGGAAGATAAGGATCCGAATCAGAAGGTTCGGGTTGTTTCCATGCATTGAAGTCACTCACCCCATTGCTCGGGTTACAAACAGTATCAACGGATTGCTTCGGGCGTGGAAATCAAATTCGCACACGAATCGCTTCCGGCACGTCCTCGATGTCACTCCGAGAAAGCGGAATGCCATATCGGTTAACTGGTCGGTCCAGTACATTCTGTGGGGGAAGTTGGAAAATAGTATCATTCTGCATTCGGGAGAAATTTCTAAATCAAAATCTTTACTCATTTTCCAACAGTTCTTCGTTTTCCGGATGCTGGACAGCACGCTTTCCACGTCGCCGATTGGGTGGAAGGTACCCACTGGAAACGATGCCGCTAGATGACGACGATGAAGAAACAGTTGGCGGAAGATAAGCGTTGGAAATGCTGCTACTTGGTGGTGGTGTATAGGAATATGATGCCGATTCCGGCCCGGGGTAGCTGGAGAATATGTCCGGTCCTGTGCTATGATAGCCGGTGAGTCCCTCTCCGAAAAACGGTGGTGGCCCATCAGATATAAGTGAATGCCCGCAGAAGCCACCGGGCCAGATTTTGTGCCCAAAGAAGTAGATTCCAGCTAAAAAAATACCCACCAGGAAAAGTTTTGCTTTCACCAGCAGAACGGTGGAGATCACATTTGAAAGCATTGGAGCCACTGAAACACACAATCCAATTTAATTAACTGACTACAATTTGAATGTCCAGATATTTTCATTACGGGCTTTGATGAGAAATTTGTAAAACCGCTTCCGTCCTCGGCCCTGCTCCACATCAGTTGAAAGCTGTTCGATCACATTTTCCCGTTCTTCCTCGGCTATCGCAGACACTGCACTCAACACCAAAATCAAGGCAATATTTTTCCAAATTGCCATATTTCGATCACTTTCTTTCCACTAAACACCACTTTTGGATAATGCAAAACGGTGTCTGATTCGACGGTTTCGCTGGGTATATCGTTTTATACGTTGGGTGGACTTATGCCCATGGACTTATTGTGCGAAGCAGGGAAGGAGAGGTGCTAATTTCGAGTGATAACGAGCGATCCAGTCAGGCTCCGGCGGCGATTATGTGACCGGCTAGGTAGGTAGTAGGTTGACTTATATTTGGTTGTTGAAGTCGATTCAAATTCATATTTTTAAATCACACTTTCTTTCTGATCTTTCCGCTTCACCCGTAGGTGCGCGATTGGTTTACTCAACATTCTCCCTAATCAGATGTTAGCAGTTTTGTCCATCATTTGGTAGCCTCAATAAATCGATTCTCCCGTCAATTTCTAGTAAGAGAGCGTTGAGCATCGCAAGTTCTATTGAATGGCTAGATTTGTTTGATGTTGACTTTGTTTGTTATAATTCATGCGATATTCGTAGTCGCATATTAGTTTCTAAATAATTTAGCCATAATCTATTTAACAACAGTATCGATGAAATTACTGTAGCAGTTTTGAAGGTGGTAATTGATTGTTGCTTTTTACCGCAACACCAAAGCCGTACTTGGGATATTTTCTTAGGTGGCATACTTTCATCCCCCCCCCCACTCTTTATTTTTTTACGATGCTCTCGTCACCCATTGAAGCGTAAACGGGAAAGGGATATCGCAACAAATTTTCATTATCATACCTGTTTTCCCTCAAATGTAGTTGGAACTGCTCCACCGACGATCTGACGAGACAGCTCATTGAAGCTACATTCAAATTCAAATCCCTGTCATAGGTTTTTCCTGGATTTCGTAGAACTTCGATGATGTTCTTAAAACTTTTATGGTGTTCTTTGAAGTTCGCAGATGGTCTATAAATTTGCCAAACTTTCCCTGAAATTCACAGATATTTCCTAAAGTTCACAATGATTTCCTAAAGTTATTAGATTTACCCTGCGGTACGCAGAACGTCCTTAAAGTTTACATATTTTAGTAGAACTTTCCTGGCATTTGCAGAGCTACATTGAAGTTCATATAATTTTGCTAGAGTTCACAGAACTCTATTGAAGTTAGTAGAACTTACCAGGAGTATACTGAACTTCCCCGAAGCTTGCAAATCTTTTCTGAAGCTCGCAAAACGTCCCTGAAGTTAGCAGTACTTTTCCTAAAAGTCGAAGAATTTCTCTCAAACGCGTTATGAGACTTTGTAGAATTTTCTTGAAGTTTGTAGAACTTCCCTGGCGGTTGTTGAACCCCTTTGGAATTAGCTTTAATTTCCTGAGATTCGCAGTTTATAAAATATTGCTTGTTTAACTTACGTGTGTGCGAAGAAGTTCTTTCAAGTTCACATAATTTCTTTGAAGTTCACAAACATATCTTGAAGTTCGCAGAACGCCTCTAAAGTTTGCATAACTTTACTTAATTTCAGAGTATCGCTTAAGTTCAAAGACCTTGCCGAAAAAAATGCAAAACGTCCCCGAACTTCAATGGAGTTTGCAGAACTATCCGGATGATCGAAAAATGTCCCTACTTGTCCCAAGCAAATCGATTAACGTACCCCACTCTAGTCGAAATTCTAGTACTACACAATGTTTGTTTTGATTCGCTATGAAAGTTTGATAGATGAAATGAGGGGTTAGTGGATTTTCCTATCTTTCGAGGGGTGAATCGATCAGCTTGGGACCGAAGAGAGTACCAGAGCTGAGCCAAAAAGTTGAGCACGTTTCTTCGGGACATTCTGGTCTTAGAGTTACCTCAATGGTTGTACCATAGAGGTAACTCTAAGACCACTGGGTCCCGAAGAAAATCATTATTATTTTTGGCTCACTCAGTACCAGAACAACGGTCCCAAGCAGTCCCAAGCTATTTCACTCACCCCTGCATGTTCTGCATGAATCCACACACCCCTGATGTTATCTGTCAAACTTTCATAGCGAATCAAAACAAACATAGTGTAGTAATAGAATTTCAACTAGAATAGGGTACGTTAATCGTTTGCTTGGGACCAATAGGCTACTAAAGTGGTGAGCCGAGATAAAATCGTTAGTTTCGTATTGATTGTTGGTTGTACTTTGTACAACACACATGAGTTTTCTATTGCCATTTTGTTGCTGAGTTATCAATCGATCTAAAACCAACGAGTATTCCTCAAAAAACTTGTTTTGATCTAATCAAGCTAAACTTTGATTGCAGTAAACACCTAAAAAATGCGGATAATAGAGAAGATGTAAATGGAAACCGCGTAAACTGTGACCATACTACGTGGGATTTGACTTAATTGATTACAACAAATGAATATATCGAGATCCTGACCAGATCGAAAGTTACTGTCTCTGACAAAGTTGTTCAGGAGATCATAGCCTTGTCGCTGGCGGACAGTAGTTCAGATTTTTCTCACTAGGTAATGCTAGTATACATGTGAAATTCTCGCATGTGATATATCTCGATATCCTGACCAGATAGAAAGTTATTGGCATAGTAGTTCAGGAGGTCAAGGCATTTTCGCAGGTGGACAGTAGTTCAAAGTTTTCTCACTTTGCGGTGCTACTATACATGTGAAACTAGATCCTGACCAGATAGAAAGTAAATGTATTCAGCAAAGTTTTTCATGAAGTCAAGGAGTGTCGGAGACTGTGAGTTAGCTGAAGGATGTCTCGCTGGATATGCCCAAGTCTGGACGGGCGGTAGGTGGTGGCCGTGAAACGGTTCCTGGGGAAAGCACTAGATGCGAACCTCCTCCCAAATCACCATGGCAATACAGGAAGTATCACAACAAAGGTAATTGCTATTAGATATTTTGCAAACAGTGACAGATAGCGGACATGAAGAACCAGTGGAAGTGCCGGGCAAATGTGTTTATCTTAAGTTACAAATTCTCTGTTGTCGTTGTCGTAATCGCCGTCGTAGTCGTAGGCAATACCGTTAGTATATTTAAAATTAAACATCAACCGCTGAAAATATGAATTATCGCGTATTTCTGTTGTTCATTACATTCCAAGTGAAATTCGAGAACGTAATTTCATTTGAATAACTTGTTTAACCAGGTCTTAAACAATCGTCACGTCGGTCATAGCTTGTTATGATTGTCTGAACCATGCGTAAACAGAAAATCGAAACATTGAACGTCGCGTGAAAGTGGATCTTAATGAAGGTCTAAGTACTCTTTCGTAGCTTTTAGTTTTAGGATTTCAAAGATCGTCGGTTGCAGTGGCTTGCTTACTGAGGAGAAAAACACGGTCCCAGATCCTTTCATATTAAAAATATTAAAATATCGCTTGTTTATCGTGTATTTTGTAAAACTTTTCGTTGTCGTCGGTGCCGGGTTTGAATAGTTATAAAAACTTGAGTAACGCTATAATGTGATATGAGAGGCTCGGTGGCCTTAGAGCAACCGTTTTTGCTTACTGAGCAGAACATCATGAGCCTAATCTCAAGCCCATCCACATTCAAGATTCGTTAATGATTAAAAAGGAGCTCGTCTGCCTAGTGGAAAACGTTTTTGCTTACTGAGCAGAAGACCGTGGGTTCAATCCCAAGCTCCTTCGCGTTATACGATCGTTAGGACATCAATTCAGCTTATCGTTTACCAAAACGAACCCTGCTGCTAACCCAACCCTCTTACCCAACATCCCTGTGATTCCTCGTGGAAGTGCAGAGGACTCCTCGGCTTCCATCAAAGCGAGTGTCACGTCAACACATTCCTACCCATTCCTTTCTTGACCTGCGTTCAGGCGCGGCTGGCGCTGGTATTGCCTAATTCGAGATCACCAGTTTTTACACATTGAGGATGATTGCTAGTCCCAAGCATCGTCTATTGGTTCTCTGTGTAATTACAACTGGCCTGGCAATAACAGAGTAGCAACCGTGGGCGGTCAATCATGCTCATGCTCATGCTCAGCAAAGTTTTTCATGAAGTCAAGATCTTTTTCTTGGGTGACAATAGTTCAGAATTTTCACACTATGTGGCGCTAGTATATACGTGCCTTTCTCGCATATTCAATACCTCGAGATCGTGATCAGCTAGAAAGTTGCTGTCTTCGTCAAAGTTGTTTAGGGGGTCAAGACTTTTTGCCTGGTAAACAGTAGTTAAGAATTTTCTTACCACGTGGCGTTAGTATACATGTACATTTCGCGCATGTGCTATATCTCGAGATCCTGATCAGATAGAAAGTTACTGTCTGCGACAAAGTTGTTCAAGAGGTCAAGGTCTTTTGGCTGGTAGTTCAGAACTTTCTCACTTCATGGTGCTAGTATACATATGAAATTCTCGCATATAAAATATCTCAAGTTCTTGACCAGATAGAAAATTACTGTCGTCGGCAAAGTTGTTCAGGATATCACAAAATGTTTGCTCGTAGACAGTTGTTCAAAACTTTCTCACTACGTAGCGCTAGTGAAATGTGAAATTCTCGCCTGTGATATATCTCGAGATCCTGACCAAATAGAAAGTTACTGTCTTCGGCAAAGTTGTTCAGGAGGTCAAGGTCTTTTGGCTGGTGAACAGTATTTCAGAATTTTCTCACTGCGCTGCGGTAGTATACACGTGCAATCCTCATATATGCTACAGTTCGAGATCCCAAACAGCTAGAACATTACTGTCTTCGGAAAAGTTGTTTAGGAGATCAAAGCTTTTTTGCTGGTGAACAGTAAATAGTTTAGAATATTTTCGGTATGCGGCGCTAGTGTGCATGTAAAATATTTGTATATGCTATACCTTAAGGTCAGGAAGTAAATGTCATCGTCAAAGTTGTACATGCGGCAAAGTTCTTCCGGATGGTGAACATGCAAATGTGCAATTTTTGATCTCCTTAGGTTATTTGAATGGTTTGAATGGTATTGCATAAGGGTTCTACTACTACTTTCAATTTTGACTTTTTTTTAAGTCAATTCTGAGAAAATCAATCATGATTCTTTAGAGTAAATATCCATTCAAAATCTTTCAAATGTTCTAAAAAGAACGAAAATTGGACGATTTTACGGGGTGCCCTTAAACTTATGATCGGGAGTGTACGGTTTTATAAATTTCTCCATTCAACTGAGCGAAAGTTCCTCACTCTCTGATCTAGTCTCGTTGTCCGTGCACACGTAAATACAGGGATTTTTTTTGTTGTAGACCCCTCGATAAGACATTTTGAAATTAGCCTAAAATGAAAGGGCGGCTCTAAACATTCATTCGGAGGAAGTTTCAGCGATATTTATCAGAGGTATACAAGTGGAACGACTCACCCAAATTTATGTATCCACAAATCTGCATGAAAATCTTCACTAGTAAAAGAAATCCAGAATATATTTGTCTTATCCCACTTAGGCTGATGTAAATTGTATTTTTATTTTATGATATTTGATATGCGAGAATTGCCCGCCAAGTTTTGAGAAATTTCTGAACGATTGTTCATGAGCCAGAAGATCTCCTTGATTGCTTTGCCATTATATATGCGAAGATTTCACGTACATCCTAGCGCCGCGTAGTGAGAAAATTCTGTACTGTCGATCATCGAAAAAGTTTTAATCTCCTGGACAACTTTGCCGATGACAGTTTAGCAGGTTTCGAAATATATCTGATGCGAGAATTGCACGTGTATTTAAGCGCAATGATGTGAAAAAAAAATGAATTTCTGTCCACCAGCAAAAAGGCCTTGGCTCCCTGAACAACTTTGCCCAAGACAGTAACTTTCTATTTGGTCAGGATCTCGTGATATTTTATGTGTGAAAATTTCACGTGTATACTAGCGCCGCTTAGGAAATTTTCAACTATTGTACACCAAGCAATAAGCTTTGACCTCCTAAACAACTTTGTCGAAGACAGTAACTTTCTATCTGGTCAGGATCTCGAAACAAACCACATGCGAGAATTCCACGAGTATTCTAGCGCTACGTAGTGAGAAAATTTTAAGCTACTGTCCACTAGCGAAATATATCTGATCAGAATCTCGAGATATTTTACAAGCGAGAATTATCCGTTTATACTAACGCCACGTAGTGTGAAAATTCTGAACTATTGTGCACCAAGCAAAAGGCATTGACCTCATGAACAACTTTTTCCAAGACAGTTATTTTCTACCCGTTCAGAATATCGAGCTATACCATACGCGAGAATTGTACACGTTTATTAGCGCCACGTGGTGAAAAAATTCTGGACCAGCCAAAAAGTTTTAACCCCCTGAACAAGTTTACAGAAAACAGTAACTTTCTATCTGCTCAGAATCTCGAGCTATTGTATATGCGAGAATTGCACGTATATACTAGCGCCACGTAGTGAGAATTTTCTGAACTACTCCACCAACGAAAAGATCTTAACTTCCTGAAAAACTTTGCCGAAGACAGTAACTTTCTATCTGGTCAGAATCTCGAGATATTTTATATGAGAATTTCACGTGTATACTAGCGCCGCGTATTGGGAAAATTTTGAACTATTGTGCACCAAGATATATGATTTGATCTCATCACAACTTTGTTGAGGACAGTAACTTTCTATCTGGTTAAGAACTTGAGATATTTTATATGCGAGAATTTCACATGTATTCTAGCGCTACGTAGTGAGAAAATTCTGAACTACTGTCCGCCAGCGACAAGGCTATGATCTCCTGAACAACTTTGTCAGAGACAGTAACTTTCTATCTGGTCAGGATCTCGATATATTCCATGTTGTAATCAATTAAGTCAAATCCCACGTAGTACGGACACCGTCTACGCGATTTCCATTCAAATTTTCTTGTTGGCGCGAGTAACGGAGGGTTGAAATTATTTGTTCACAATTTCTGTGTGCATCGTACAGCGTAATATTTTAGAACAAGCGGAATGGCCAATCAGCTGTTTGGGTGTAATATTCAACAACTTTTTTTTCCGACACATCTAAATCTTAAGTTAAGATGCTTAACAAATCTCCAACTAGCGAATCAATCTTCGGAAAATCTTCTTTCATTTCTCGCATCTACTTGCATCGCGCATCATCTTTTTGCAGGAAATCTTCAGAATCATCGTCAATCTTCTTTCTATCTACTCAGCGTGCACGCAGCTAGCCACAGCAAAACATAATCTTTCCTGAATCGTAGATAGAGTCATCCCCCTCGTTTTTTCTGTATTCGTCAGATTAGTATGTGGTACAGTAATGATCCGATTTTTTCGGCCCCTCCGCGCATCAGACTTTTCTCTTTAAATATTTTCATAAAATCGTAATTCCAAATCATTCTTATGCATCTTCAAGATGGGTTTTTAAGGTATACTTTGGTGCAATAAGACCACTGAAAAAGCGCATGAGTTACGTAGAAAATTAGAAAAGATTTTCAAAAAGGGGGCTGACAAAAATGTCTCCAGTGGTATGCCTTGGTCCTCTTATCATTCTCAAGAGCTGACATCTACTAAATTGACCTGACATAGAACTGGCATCATTAATAAGTTCAAAATGTAGTGGCTTACTTAACGCTTCAGTGGCGCCACCATGACAAATGCGAGGACATTCCCAACTAAAATCTTATTTGCGAAGAATGTGATTGTGAGTGCTATGACTGTTTGTCTGTGATATTAGGTCAGGTGTATACACCGAAAATAGTTTTCATGTAGCTTCCATTGGAATCGCAAATGATTTTCATCCATAAACAAAATTAATGGAATTCATATGAATTTCACATAACATTTATGAGGTCTCGTTAATTTTATATGATTTTTCATATGAATTTCATCGGACTCATAATATTCATGTGATTTTGTGGTGAGATTTCTAGCTATGTGATAACATGAAAGCTAAGTGAAATTCACATGGTTTTCATCCATTATATATGTGATAAATTTTTTTAGTGTATAGTAGTTGTAGGCAGTGTTGGAAAAGTTCGTGATATTTCACAAAGTTCACCAAGGGAAAAGTTCGCGAGTCATAGTGATTTTTGCGAACTTTTCCATCACTGGTTGTAGCCCTAATAAACAAATACCATAAACGAACTGTATCCCGGATGGGTAAACTATCCCACAAATGGTTTGGATGAAACCTAAAACACGTTGTTAAGCTCTCTTTTATGGTTATTTTTATTAGGGAGGTTAGTTATAGTTGTAATTGGTAGTATTAAGTTGTCTTCTTTTTTTCAATTTCAAACAAACCAATCCCACCAAGGTGGGAATGCTCTAAACAGGCCTGATAGGACTAGGAGCTTAACCACACAAATTCAAGAAATAGAGATTAGTGACGTTTAACGCACGCACACTAGCGGGAGCAACGCCGTGTAAAGTTGTTTATTATTTTCCTCTGGCTAACCTAAAAAATGTATGAAAGTAGATCTGTCAAAATGAGTTTGACATCGATTTGTTATGTATTTTCCTCGGATATTCACAAACACACTCTCACATATCGCACCAACACAACCGGACGTGAAAATCTCTATAAACATCATTTAAAGAGTTGGTTGGAAATGCTAACATGAAGCTTTAGTGTGATAATTTATTAGCTAGAGAATGATCTTTAGAAGAGAGTAGGTGGATAGTTCCGTTAGAGTACGGCAGTATGAAAATTGAATAGAATAGAATAGACGCACATCTTTTGCCTAACCCGTACGATGTACGCGGAGATTTGAAGTATGTCTCCAAGTCTACAGGCATCTACAGGTCATCTCTCTGAGATGATCACGTTGGTCATGACGAGAGGAGCAACACAATAGTTGGGTAAAGAAGAATTGCATTATAACACATCATCGACTGGAAATGCTCTCGCAACTTGGGGCTTTAGGTAGTGATGAAAACGTCGCTAGAACTATTCCACAGCCGCAGTCAGTTTATGAGCAAAAACCCGAATTTATCCACCTATGGTGTGATCAGACCCTTCTTACTTATTCAAGTTTATTTATTTTATTGTCATCGGTTACCAAGCCCCCCACCCCCGTGTCATCCAGTGACGCTACGCCACTGCCATTGGGGTACTTGGAATATATCCGGGTGTAGTCTATTTGGTGAGGCTACCAATCACCTTATCATCGTTTCATATTCAAGCAACTTTCCCGGGGTACCCGGAACATGTCCAAGTGTGTCCAATGTGGTCTGGAACACTTAACACGACTTGCATTGATCTTATTTTTGAATTCTGTAGTAATTTGATGTGTCGCATGATGGTTTTGATACGTTTTCCGTTAAATCCAGCGTGAAGGCCCATATTCACCGGATCTTATTCCGGCCATATCTCCGGAACCGGTTCACCGATTCCAAAACCGGTGAGGTTTCTTTCTCAAATAAGAAATAAAAATTAGAAAAAAATAAATAATTTAATTCACACACTTATAAATAACATTCAACATAATTAACACATTACTTCAAGCTAGTCTATCACTAAGAATCCTCCGAGATCATCTCGCTCGTATGATCGTCTATACTGCTGTCCGCTCCCTGATCCTTATTTGCCCAAAGTGAACACCTGCTATACATCCTTCGGCAATCACTCTTCTGTTTCGGCACCGTCCCGCGGTATTTCCCAAACAAGTCATGCCTAAAACTCGTCGATCCGTTCAGCTTCCCTTCACCCGAAGCCTCAAAGTCCATCTCGCAAACCGCCAGCTTGCGACAGTGTTCGTCGTTGATTTCGAACAAATCGAAAAAGACCTCAAGATAATTGGGGTGCTCTACTTCTGCTCCACTCAAATCTCGTTTCCGGCGACCCCAAAACTTCTTGAAGCTGAAACAGGCCGCCGGTTCTGTCCATGTATCCAGATAATTGGGCGTCACAGCTTCGTGGCTTACTTCCTTGGTCTTGGTCCAGTAGTACCCATCACCGAATGCGTAAATGGCTGCCAATCCTATTGCGAGCTTCAGCTTGATCATGATCACCGTCGAGAGGTCGGTGAACCAGGGCCACCCTAGAATGTCATGGAACAATGATAAGAGTCCATATAGATCGAAAGCTGCTCAACCGTACTTACAGTATTGGACGTCGTTGTAAAAGTAAGATTCATACGATTGTAACCGTCCTTCCACTTTGCCGCTTTCCGAAGGATCCGTAGCATGTCCGATCGCCGTAGAAATCACTACCAAGGTTATTAAAGTTGCAAACAATCTTCCGTCGGTGGCCATCTCGGAACGCCGGACAGTTGTGATCGAGTCAAGAGCAGCACATTGAACTAACACTTTTCTCATCCCCATTTCTTTCTCATCCTCTAACGTGGAGGAAGATGCTAATTGCTGGCTCAAATAAACATCCGTCATTCGCACGACCGTAGTATTTTGTTTTCCTCACCCGACCGGTCTGCTCCGAATTCGGATTACTTAATCTCGTTGGAGCGGAAATCGGGCTTAACACCTCCAACCACATGGTCCGTGTTTTGAGCTGTCGTGCATCATGCGTTATATTTATGTCTTGGGCAATGCAACTCGGACGTCCGACTTGGGCAACTACGCAACGGTACCATTCAGCAATTAGCACTTCCGTTCTCTTCGGTAACACTTTCGATTTCTCTCTAAGGGGTAACTGGAGTATGGCATCACCTCTGTCTTCGGATGGGTGGATGCATAACCGAATATTCTTAGTATTTGCACTTTCAATTATAAGAGGATGCTGGCTTGTGTAATACTGAAGTGGGCCGGAAGGAAGTGTGTTATCCAAACGATGCATGTGCTGATGCAGAACTGCAATCGGTTGTGTGCTTAATGATTAGCAGAAATGTTGCCCAACAAATATTGCCTAAATATGTTTTTCTTTTTTTGGTTCTTTTAAAAAAAAATAATACTAGGTATTTGGATATTACGTTCCAAACGGAATGCCTTTTTACATAGTATTTTTTTTTAGCACTTCCTTAGTCGTTAATCGAGACCAAAACAGTAGGCCGCGCTTAAACTGACGTGTGAATTTTTAACAATAAGGACATAATAGCTACGGCCCACACCTTGGAAATGAGTATCTATGAACGAAGTTAAGGTGATTCCCCGTGGCGTCCTTTTTCGTGTTACACTTCGCAATTTCACATATAAAAATAATAAGGTTTCTGTGAATGCACGTAGCTGAAACTACTACTTGTTCTTTGCTGCAGAGAAGCAAGCAATGTCTGAAATTTGCAGGTGTATAAACCTTGTAGATCTTGAGTAGTGTGCTCTTGAAATTGCGAGGTGTGATGGAAAAATGGACTCTACAAGGAAACACCTTAAAGTCGTTTCATTGAGTGTTACTTGGTGCTTCAAATTACTGGAACATAGGGAAATTAGTTCGTCATTATTGGGCATACGAAGTACGAGAAGTTGTCGTCATAGAGAGGTAAGTTCGTTACGTAGTTTCATTGAAATAATTCGTTTTTGAGTACATATAATAATACATAAATAACCTCGTAAATAACCCTTCTTGACAACCCCTCCTTTATAATCTTTTCTAAAATAATACGAATTCCGTAAGAAAACCAAATAAAACAATAAAAAACTAATCTTATCAATTCAATAAAGGAATAATAGGAATAGTTTATCTAAAATAATTAAAATTCGGATGCAGAGGGGTTGACAAAATTTTTAACATTACTGTAAATCATATATTTTAAAACATTATATCAGGCATAACATTTGATAACGGCACAAAAGCATTTGTAAACAAACTTTCTAAGGCCCTTTACACGCGAACCAAAGTACGCCCACGCAAACCAACAACATCATCAGATAGAGGCAACTATCACCTTTCCGAAAGTGGTATTGGTTTGCGTGGGCGTACTTTGGTTCGCGTGTAAAGGGCCTTAGAAAGTTTGTTTACAAATGCTATTGTGCCGTTATCAAATGTTATGCCTGATATTATATAGGGGAGAACAGTACATAACGCACCCCCGGGGTAAGACGCACTTTTTCATTTTATTTTGAGTTTTTCTTGGAATTTTAAATCCAATTCTAGGATTTATCATGCAGGATTTTAAGTTCAGATGCTATGCTAGAAGTGCTGCTTGATAAGACAACAAAAAAGTTACCTAAAAGCCATGAAAAACACAAATGAAAGTCAGCTGGTGCGTTCTGCCCAGGGGATGCGTTGTATACCATTCTCCCCTACTGGGTTGGAGGCAGCCTAAGGCGATCAAAGGATTTGTTAACTGAACGAGGGTTCGTGGATTTGCCAGTCCCTTGTCACGTGTTTACAGATGGCCATCTGGTCGTTTTGTCCTCCAAAGGTCTTCAATGAAGCTGATTCACCCTGCTGCAACAAACCATCAGGCAGAACTTTACAACCGGTAAAGTATCTGTAGACATTGGTAATCCTTGCACTGATGGTGGGTTGCATTCACATCACATCACTTCCTAAGTCGTTAATCTAGAGATTTCTAAGCCTACACCTTTTTCGCAATTATACTCTATTTCCAATCCTTACTGCACCCGGGGCCACCGGAACATCCGAGATATTTTTTAAATCTTTATTTAAGAGATTTACATCCGGGATAGGTCATGGGCCACATATATTATAATTATGCGTTACCAGAGATTTTTATGCCTCAGCAGAAAAATCCCACCGACCTCGGCTGGGATTGAACCCAGACCCATTGGGGTGTTAGAAAGCAGTCACGCTTACTACTACATCACCGGCGCCGGCTTAAATCCAAGCTTAAAATTAATCTAATTGTCGCGCGTCCATCAAACCGAATCGCGCGTGCGACGTCAAAATTAACATTTGTAACATAGAAAGTTCAGTCAACAATCAATACGAAACTAACGATTTTAAATTGGCTCACTACTTGACTAGCCTATTGGTCCCAAGCAAATCGATTAACGTACCCCATTCCAGTCAAAATTCTAGTACCACACTAAGTTTGTTTTGATTCGCTATGAAAGTTTGACAGATAAAATGAGGGGTTATTGGATTTTCCTATGTTTCGAGGGGTGATTCGACTAGCTTGGGACCAAAGATAGTACCAGAGCTGAGCCAAAAAGTTGAGCACGTTTCTTCGGGACCTACTTGTCTTAGAGTTACCTCTATGGTTCAGTGATGCCAGCGAGAAATGTCGTTTTGATTTTCAGTCGTAGGCACAATTCATAATCAGTTTTTTTAAACTTGTTTTTTTTTTGTAGTCTCGTAGCTCAAAGACACGAGCAGAACAGAACCAATAGTTTAAACATATGATTTGTAAACCGAAAATATGTGATTGCCATTGAATTAATCGAAACAAATGAGAATGGAACGAGGATAAGGACTAAAAAAAGAATGGTTTTGAAGCGAGTAAGAGCGTACTTATTACAGTATCCCCCCGCTAATCCGTCAAATTTGATAATCTAACTGTCAAGTCCATACAAATAAATGTTGCCAATGAAAAAAAAATCTATAAGAAACCGTAACGTCGGATTAAGGAGAGCCGGAGTTGGGAGTTGGAAACTCTAAGACCAGAAGGTCCCGAAGAAACGTGCTCAAATTTTTTGGCTCTGCTCTGGTAGTCTCTTCGGTCCCAAGCTAATCGATGCACCCCTCGAAACATAGGAAAATCCACGAACCCCTTATTTTATCTGTCAAACTTTCATAGCGAATCAAAACAAACATAGTGTAGTAGTAGAATTTCGACTAGAATGGGGCACGTTAATCGATTTACTTGGGAGCAATAGGCTAGTCAAGTAGTGAGCCAATTTGAAATAGTTAGTTTCCACCGGTTAGAGATACGGTAAACGCAGCTAGTACTGCAGTATGTTCAATTTGAGGTACTAGCTTAAAATAATACAGTGGAGAACTTTGTACGTCTTTTGAAGGCCTTAAATGCATTTAAGCTAAATATGTAATATAGAGGAAATGGATGTAATTTTTGTATTCCCGCACTTCTACAGGGTGGCCGATGTCCGCCTAAGCGGAACAGTATCGCGGGATACAATAAAACGGTGATATTGGAACCGGAATGTTAAAACACGTTGTTAACGTAATAAAAGTAAACAAGGACTAGCCTGCATATTAGTCGCCGTTAAATCCGGAGAGTCTGCTGAACTCGACGAACTAGATCTAGGTGTCACTTGAGGCATCGGTACATCCGGGAGAGACGGTGAGCCAACTGGAGCAGTAGACCTAGGTAGATTCCAGCTGTCTAGCAGGACATCAAGCGGTAGCTTCCTTTGGTGAGCTGGATCACTGCCTGCAGATACCCCACGATCACGCAATTGATTCACGTGCGATCTTGTCAGCCGTCGGTCGTTTACCCATACAGAGTACATCACTCGACCAATCTTTTCGCAAATGACCCCTGGTTCCCAACTCCACTTGTTGTTACTGTATATTTTGGCATAGACCAGGTCGTGAGGTGCAAAGCTTCTTCTTGGTGAGCCCTCTGCTTGCTGCGTTGGAGGTGGGTGTACTGGAGGTCGAAGAAGATCAAGGCTTGTACGGATGCGACGCCCAAACATGGCTTCTGCTGGAGACAGGCCGTCCGTGACCTGGCGGTTTGGTGTAGATCGATACGTCAGCAGAAAAATATCCAACGCTTCTTCCATGGTCTTCCTCCCCGCTTGGATTTTCCGCAACGTCCGCTTAAATGTATCCACAAACCGTTTTGCCTGCCCATTAGATTGTGGGTGGAACTGTGCGGTAGTTATATGCTGGATGCCGCTGGTCGCACAAAACTGTTGAAACTCGGCGAGCGTCTCTGGAATCCCCAAGCGAAAAAACAGGTTGCGACGAATACCGATTGTGGCTACTGAACTGATGCGACGAGTTACAATCACCTCTGATCATTTGGAGTAGGCGTCGATGACCAGTAAAAAATAGTTTCCATCAATCGGTCCGGCAAAATCAATATGGACGCGCTGCCACGGTCCACCAGGCGTTGGCCACAGAACAGGTGCTGCGTGTGGAGGAGATTTCGCTGCTAATGCACACTTGTTTAAGCAGCTCATCTAGCGGAAAACGTAGAGTCCGGATGTTCGGCACAAACTTCCCGTAGAAATTTACAGCGCCCAAAAACGAACGCACTCCGCTGACATCCGTAGGTACAGGTAGCTGCTTGATAGCCTCAACTTTCGCTGGATCAGGCCTCAACCCATGGCGATCGAGCAGATGGCCTAGGTAACGAATTTGCTCTTTGCCAAAGGAGCACTTGCTGAGACGAATGGTGAATCCATAATAATTGATTCTATCAAGCACGGTACGAAAGTTTCTCATATGGTCTACTGCATCGATACCACCAACTACTACGTCGTCAAGATACCCACTGGTACGAACAAGGCCAGCGAGCATCGTATCGATCACTTGCTGGAATGCTCTTGGCACCGCCTTCACTCCAGGTGGAAGATGATTATATCTATACAGGCCTCGATGAGTGTTAATCGTAAGCATCTCGCGTGAGCCTTCATCCATTTCCATTTGCAGGAATGCATCAGTCAAATCGATCTGGCTGAAAACGGTGCAGTTAGCCAGACTAGCAAAGATATCCTGTGGTAAAGGGAGTGGGTACAGATGAGGCTGTAACGAGTCATTTAACCCCGTTGAATAGTCACCACATATCCGAATCGACTCGCTTGACTTGCGGACCACCACAATTGGAGCGGCCCACTCCGCGAAGTCTACTGGCGTGATGATCTGTTCCTGCTCCAGTCGGTCTAGTTCATCATCCACAGCCCGCTGCATCGCGTAAGCGACCGGGTGTTTCGACCGGAACACGGGAGATTTTCCTGACTTCAGCTCCAACTTGATCTTCATCTTCGTACAGATGCCCAACTTGTCGGAGAAAACCGCTGGAAACTCCGCCTTGAGTGTCTCCACATAGGATGTTTTACTACCGATCTGGCAGCAAATCGCATTGAAGGGTACCGACCACAGTCCAAACACTTCCATCATATCGGACCCGAGGAGTTGAAGTTGCTCTCGAGAAACTCGCACTGTACCCTCCGATTTCATACCGTTGATCATCATCTCGCAAGAAAATTCGCCTTCGATGTTCAAAATCTTTCCAGCAGCTGTCTTTACGACGATCGTTGGCGCACACAAGAATGGCTTCCGATTATGCGCCACGTTCCCATTGAAACGTTGGTAATGTCAGACCCTGTGTCTAGTTGCAGGCGAACCGACGAATCGTTGATATCCACTGGTACATACTTCCTGCACTTCGTTGCACTACAGACGTTCACCGTCACCACCTTTGCAGCGGCGTTTCCTTTTCGTCGATCGGACCTCCTGAACTTCGCTTTCCCAGCACTGTGGCAGTAACCCTCCTTATGGCCGAACGTACCACAATCACTGCATTTGTGGTTCTTAAACGAACGATCCCTGGCATAGTGATTAGCACCACAGAGCCAACAAGCTGATTTGGGCCCACTCACGTTGCTTCTGGAATCAAAGCCGTCCTTCGAGCTCTGCTTCGGCTGACGTGCTGGGAACCTTCCAGGATGCTGTCTGGATTTCAGCGCTTTTACACAGCCAGTCTGATCCTCGATCATTGCTGCGTCGTGCCTCAAATTCAGCAAGCGCTGGCACTCCTCCGACAACTGCTCCAACGTCAAATCACACTTCTCTTCGATACGCGTCAAAAGCCTGGTTCGAACTTCCGCATCCCGCTCCGACTTAAGCCCGCAGACGAAAACCAGACATTTAAACTGTTCTTCCGACAGCTTCGTAAGTTCGAACTCCACGCACGACTTATTTATCCGGCAAGCGTACGTGACATAGTCCTCTCCAGGCTGCTTCGAGATCTGTAGGCAGCGATACCTGCGGCTGATGACTGACTCGGGTGCCCCGAACAATGAGGTTAGCTTCGACACCGTCTCCTCAAATGACAAATCTTTCGGTGTTTTAGGTAAAATAAAGCTTACATACCTCTCGTGTTAAGACATTCCTATCTTACGAATCAGTAAGCGTACTTTCGCCTCCTAGATCAGACACAAACCAATTCATAACTTTTGCATGCCGGTGCATGACTTTGCTAAATATTTCCCGCGAACACGGAGCCAGATGTCAGTAGTGTGCTTTGGTCAGAAATTCATGTCGGTTTGTCGGTGGCCTAACTGCCCACAGTTCAGTGAACCAATTTTCCGAAATTATCACAATACAGTGAACGTTAGATATGATAGTTGATTAATAGTATATATAATTTATCATTTGAATATGTGCTTTTTCCAAACATTTATTTGGAAGGCTCAATCACGTTAGCTGTACGGAACCGAGTATGAATATATGTTTAATGTGTAAATTCTTGGAATGGAACATCTGAAAATATCGTAACTTTTCGGAAAACAAGATGTTTATTGCAACACTGAACAGAACAGAAGAACATATGTAAGCAGAGCCATATGGCCAGGGACAGGTAGGGGTAAACACATCCAAGTGTTACCTGTCATAATTTTTGGTTTATTACATCTACTTTCCGTACTTGCATACTATCCAAAATTCTGCACAATTATCAGGAGCAGCAATACCAGTTTCGAAGACATTTGAAATTTTGTGAAGAAATTTCACACTTCACATCCCATATTTTGTAAAGATGATTGTCTATTAGTACCGACAACAGACATAATACTCACAATCACATTCTTCGCAAATGAGGTTTTAGTTGGGAATGTCCTCGCATTTGTCATGGTGGCTCCACTGAAGCGTTAAGTAATCCACTACATTTCGAACTTATCAGTGATGCCAATTCTTTTTCAGGTCAATTTAGTAGATGTCAGCTCTTAAGAATGATAAGGGGACGTAGGCATCCCACTGGAGACATATACAGTAATGACCCGATTTTGTCAGCCCCCTTTTAAAAAATCTTTTCTAATGCTCTACGAAACCCATTCGCTTTTCAGAGGTCTTATTGCACCAAATAATACCATAAAAACCCATCTTGAAGATGCATGAGAATGATTTGGAATTACGATTTTATGAAATTATTTAATGATAAAGGTCTGATGGGCGGTGGGGCCGGCCAAATCGGGTCAATACTTTACCATATACTAATCTGACGAATACAGAAAAAAAGTTGTTGGATATTGCACCCAAACAGTGGTTATCCAGCATTTTACGATCGCTTATGGCCGCCACAATCTGACTGAGTTTTTGGTAGGGAACATATGATTTGACGTTTGGGTTGTGTCGTTTGACGTGTAAACGTTCAAATTTGAACGTTTACACGTCAAACAACACAAGCCAAACTTCAAATCTTATGTTCCCTACCAGAAACTCAGTCAGATTGTGGCGGCCATAAGCGATCGTAAAATACTGGATACCGCTTGTTGTGAAATATTACGCTGTACGATGTACACAGAATTTGTGAACAAATCATTTTAATGAGTGTAATATTGTATCCACTTTTAGTAAATTCTACGGATCCATATTTCTGCAAAATTCAATCAATTTTATAGATCTACGGAAAATTTCTTCTTCGTCTTCTTTCCTTTATTTAACGTCGGTCTCTGTTCCATAATTTCCGGACATTGATTGCCATCCATTGAAGGCAATCGAATGTGCAGGAAGGCAGCTTCCACACCTGCGTAGGATATCGCACCCATTCAACACACATGGGCCGGGACAAACGGCTTTACTTCCCTACGTGACCAGAGATTTTCAAGCCTCAGAAAAATCCCACCGACCTCGGCTGGGATTGAATCCAGACCCATTGGGGTGAGAAAGCAGTCACGCTTACCACTACACCACCGGCGCCAGCTACGGGAAATTTCGAAGAATCGACATCACGGACTTCCATCTGTTTTGTTTTTATTCAACACAGCTGACGCGTTGACAGAACGAGTGATCATTAGTGAAAAAAAAAAATAAATGAACGAGGGATGCTCCGGTTGCAAAACGATACTTGGGAATGTGCATGATAGAAGGTGCTAGCAACAATCAATACGAAACTAACGATTTTAAATTGGCTCACTACTTGACTAGCCTATTGGTCCCAAGCAAACGATTGACGTACCCCATTCTAGTCGAAATTCTAGTACTACGCAATGTTTGTTTTGATTCGCTATGAAAGTTTGACAGATAAAATGAGGGGTTATTGGTTTTTCTTATGTTTCGAGGGGTGAATCGATTAGCTTGGGACCGAAGAGAGTACCAGAGCTGAGCCAAAAAGTTGAGCACGTTATTTCGGGACCTTCTAGTCTAAGAGTTACCTCTATGGTGCTAGTGTGCATGCCAAATACGTTTGACGATATTTTTTGAAGAACTTTCTTCTATGAGTTATGTATGTTTATCTGTGCTATTAGTATACTCCTAGACTGAGCAAAATTTTATCCTCAATTCGAGAAGTTTTTTTTTTTGAAAATCCCGGAAAATTCAACTCACTTTTGACAAAAACCACTTTTGACAAAATTAAGTCGACTCGACTCAATTTTGAGCCTCGTCTGATTGTCCGTGCAGTCGCGCGTCAAAGGGGTAAATTGATTTTCTTTCAAGAATTTATATTTTACCATTTGCGTAGTTTTTAACAGTTATATAATTATCACAGCATTTAAACACAACACAAACAAATGTAAGTCATTTGTACTTCAACCCGATGCTCATAATTTTCTCGTCTAGATGAATGTCATTTGATCGACCAACGTCGTGATTCTTATATTGACTGAAATCGAAACAAGATATTAATATTCACCAGATACAAAGAAATGTGTTTTCAGCTACTTACGAAAAACTGCTATAGGCAGGTTCAGGTTCATACAACCAGTTCTTGTAGACAAACAGAGCCAAAAGCCCAGCGAAGATGTACCCAAGTTTGATAAAACCCCAGCCATAGGCGAGCGACGACCACCATAGGGGAACTGAAAATTGAAATTCGAATTATCTTCTGCTTGTAAAATCCAGTAAGTCGTAACAGTTAGGCTCACTTACAGACTCCTTCTCCGGTGTGAATCGCCGTGTTAGCTGGTCCGACAGCATCGGAAGTGTTCAACGATAGCAGCAATATCAAAGTCAGTGTTAGCAAACTAAACGTGTTCATCGTGATGCTGGTTATTCGTTGAGTGTTTCTGCCAAACTGCTCGAACAACCATCGTCCATTGTTGCTTCCTCCCGTGGTGGTGAATCAAAAATGTAACACCAATTAACACCTTCCCTCGGTTAACCGACTCCCAATTGCAATGGCTCAACATTTCACGTATTTCTTTAGGAGATTGCAATCAGTCCGCATTGGAACCGTCGTCCTCTAGGATAATCGAGCGATAGGTAAAGATGAGAATCATTTTCATCACCATTCTGGCGATTTTCATAATAAGCAGTGAGAAAACAGTTTTCGCAGTGAACGACCGCGGGACTCCATCGGATCGATCGTTTTCCATTGGAAGTGTGGAACCCCGTGATGATTGGAGCGATTGGTACAACCGAATTGGTAGGTGTTTGAAACCTATATTTGCCGTAGATAAATGTTATGGGAAAATGTGTGTTCTTAACCTAATTTAAGGATTTCCCCAGCAATTTTTCGGAGCGCATGTGGCTTGGTTCAGCTTGGGGTTGTACTTCATGTTGGCGTTTTTGAAAGTTTATCTTATTTGGGGTATTTGGGCAACGGCGGAGAAGAAGCCAGCAGCGGTGCCAGCCCAATACGGTGCTACTGGATATGGAAAAGATAATATTTACTACAGGTACGACTGTCTTACTGGATCTATTGATATCTACTAAAGTGCATTTAAGTAACTATATTTTCTCTTTTTTTATAGCTATTCCCCTTGGCAGACTTATGGATAATTAATAAAAATGAAATGGCAAACTAATTCAGTTTCTGTGATAAACATCCGTTTACGTATAATGGAAAACATAAACACAGTTGTGTTATTGTTTTGATCCGAAAAATTCCTAGTTATAACCAGGGCGTCACAATATCAGCTTCAATCGACAAAACCGCTGTGACGAAGAGACTGCTAGTTTTCTTTTTCTGTTGAAGTCGAACAGCTTCGCACCATTCTAGAACCTCAGTCGGCGTCTACAAACAAATTTTCAATCGCGTGTCTCTCTTTCTCCCGTCGCTTCATTGGTCTTTCTCTCAAGCTTAGGCGAAGCGGACGAGTGAAAGAGCGCTCGACTTTGATAGTTTCGTCGAGGTTTCATGACGTATATGATGTAAAATCAAAATATATATTTAAAACATTTCGCACGTGAAACCACTTGAAGATTACACGTAATTTGTCTAATTTATCTTCCATCTCCATATTTATCTGAAAAAAAGTAACGAAAACGGGACATAAAGCATATTAAACAAATTGAAAAAGCGGTGATAGATTGTCGGTGAAAGGGATTGAAAGCCATAAGGAGGTTTCGTTTCACCTCGATAATCGACGTTACATTCATTGAATGTGAAGAGCAAAGCAACGACGAGCCTTTCGTTATAAGCGTGCTTCTTATTCATTTTCGTTTCATGATTATAGTCTAGCTAGGCGTTATAGAAATGATGCGTTCTACACGTTGTATGAAAGAAACCAAACTCGAGCTCATTTTAAAGTTTCGAACGCTTTAACACTCCGAACACCGATGCCTCCGGTAAAATGTGTAACGGCAAAATAGCAAGGTTTGAAAAATTATTGCTCAGCAATTTATCGATAGATTTTACATCTATTGATACCAAATGAATCTTTAAAGTATGTAGTTCCAAATGGCGCCAACAGATTTGTAATTGGTCAATAAATGGCTTTACTTTGATTTGTCAAAGATTGCAAATTTGCCGTTACACATTTTAGTGGAGGCATCGTGTTCGGAGTGTTAATAAGATATGTAAGGTGAAAATAGGTTCGTCGCAGGTTGGTTGGTGTAAGGTGAAAATAGGCGATGATCACCTGAATATATGGTATGACGGAACATTGATAATGTTTAAATAAAGCACAAGTAAATACTTGCAGAAATTAGTTAAGATGTCATATTGAAAAATGTGTTAATTGAATGTTGCATTGAAATACTTTAAATCGTGTTAAATTTCAATGCTCCCTCATTTCACATTGCTAATAATGTATATCTAGCGTTCAGAATGGTAATACCCTAGCTGCGATGGTTGATTTTCTTCATCGATTTTCTCTTTTGTTAATATTAGTAATATTAAGTAATATTTCCCGGTGCGTTTTATGTTGCTTTTGATAGCCTGTTACAGCACTGTATTGGACAAATTTCAGCCTCCTCGTAGACTTTCTTATCTCCTTAGGGGCTGTTCATAAACTACGTAGACAGTTTTTTGGGATTATTGACCCCCCCCCCTCCCCCTGCGTAGACAATTGTCCATACAATTTTTTTTGTATGGACAATTGTTGATGCGAAGACGAGTGTCATGATATTTTGCATCACTGGACGTCGATTTTAGTCACTCAATTTCTTTAAACGGTTGATACAAAATGCATTAAATACAAAAAAGTACTCAGCTGTAAGCATTATTTAAAAGAGTCCTTTTATTTTCTTTAAACAAATATATAAATGGCTTCGACGTATTTTTTTATAATGCTCATCGACTGAAACGCTTCTAAATATATAAAAAAAAAAACATGATTCAGATTGCACAGTTTGGAAAGTTTTAGAATTTTAAATAATTTTGAAATTTTGATAAATATTACAAAAACTACAGCTGGGTGCTTCTTGCTCAACAATATTTTTCAATTATCCGGAACCGGGAGGGATCATCATGGCACCCGACTGAAGCGATTTGGATGGGGAGAGTGGGAGAGTGGGATTGCCAACTCCCTGTTGCTAACATTTTGTGGATTAAGAGTGGGCTCTTCTCTCCTCGCCTATTGGGATATTCTTCTACACGGTGGCTTGATTTCGGTTTTGGATGTATGAACTTACTTCTGAAAGGAGATTCTCTGTCACTCCCATGGATTTCGCGTAAGTGTCTCTGTTTACGGGTCTGCCCACAGGAGTATGATGAGTACTAATCTAATCTAATCTAACACCAACACAGCCAGTTCTTGAAAGCATCCTGGAAAATGATATATATACCTACATCATTTTTCTTATCTATTTGATATATGTTTCATATCAAAGATGCGTCACACATATCAAAACGGCCAGGCCTATTGTGCAGCATTTGAGGGGCAAGATGATTCAGAATCCAATAAATGGATAAAAGACAAGGGGCTAGACAGCTTTACTCTGAGTTGCTTTTTTGCAGCGAGCAACTCGTGAGTAACTCACTGTACCTTAAAATATATTCGACGTTCATCGATGTTTTTGTCTGGTTACTCCTTGGCTTACTCCGTTTATCCCTTTCATATATTAGACGTAAGTCTTGTTTGTAAACAAAATAGAATTGTTCGACTATTGAAACGATGTGAATTCCAGATTTTGTTCAGAAAATGGCTGGATACTGGATACTGGAAAAGCTTCGAAAGGGGGCACATTGGCGTGGATTTTCATCTGCTTCTCAGAGCCGATTGGCTGCTGTTGCTGCTGTTATTGTATTGGAAGTGCTTTTTGATCGTATTCCTCCGTTTCAAAATGTTGAATGTGAATTAACTGTAGGTAGGTGGACATATGCGATTTGTTCTCGTACACTGAGATTATTAATCAAACGAACTTCATAGAAATATCGTATGATTTTTTGCGACAAGATTTTATGTTGAATTTCATACGACCGAACTGTCAGTTTTTTATCAATCAGCCATCGTATGATTTTTCATGCATATAACTATGAATCTCAATATAAACGAACGATAGCTATCATTGGATATTACGAACAATTTCATTTGTCATTTCGTATGAAACTCATAAAGGATATGAATGAAAAATATAGTTTGAGTTGATTAATTACGACTAGTACTTGAATGATTTGCTTAGTTTAACGGCTTTCTAAGTCTTAATCTCACTCTAACGACAACGATTTAATCTGCCTGACGTTTCGGCCATGGACCATGAACTAAAAAAGTATGACCGAAGCGTCGGGCAGATTAAATCGTAGTCTTTAGAGTGAGATTAAGACTGAGAAAGCCGTTAAACTAAGCAATTGTTTATTATATTTATTATATTGAGACCTGTTGTGCGTGGCGAGTGAAGTGACAATAGTTATCGAGTGGTGGCGTGATACTCCACGAGGTGACTAGGATCACTTAACTAGTTACCTCACCTTACTAGCGAGTAGAATAGGCTGATTGTACTAAAAAATGTGATTTTGGATTTTTAAGTATAGTGTTTATTCACCTAATCACATAGGGTAAATGACGGTTTTGACAATACCTTTACCTATTGTCGTCAGGGGGTAAATGAAGTGCTTGAGCATCCATTTTTTTATGTAAACAAAAATTGTAAAGTTAGGTTAGGTTTTCTTTATTAGGGAGGCTTTTAGCTCGGGGCTGGATCACCTTCGGTATTATAAAAAATAACGTTTTGTTGTTGTTTTGATTTGCACTGTCTAAATAAATTTCATACGATCATCGTATAATTTTTTGCCGTAAGCTGAACCAAAATTATTCATACGATGTGTTTATGAAATTCTAATGTTGTATGAATACTATAGATGGAGTATGAAAACATAAGATAGTTATGAAATTGATTTAGGCTTGTATTTGCATGCGTTCATACGATGGAGTTTATGAAATTTGTAGGGATAATTATCTCAGTGTAAAATAATCACAGGAATCGTTTTCAGATGTCCACCGAGGAGAATGTGAAATCGTTGTGGGAAATCACTGGCCTACATGGGAAATATCTTCCCTGTTGGATAAAAACATCCGATTCCCAATTCCAGCTCCGAAGGAAACGCTGCCAACCACTACCCCAGAATGTTGAGCCAGAGCATCAACACAGTCGACACTGCTGAAGTCGAAGAGGAGGAGGACGATGAAGACACAGCTCCCAATATTTCCGGTGAATACGATCCTCTTCCGGACTTCAAACCCATCATCGCTCTAACCGACGAAATCGAAGTGAAAACCGGTGAAGAAGACGAAGAACAAATGTTCTGCGTTCGCTCCAAACTACTGCAGATAGTTCAGAAAGAGTGGAAGGAAAGGGTTCTTGGCGATCTGCAGA